CAGGAGCCCCTAGTAGCGTCCTTGCTCCTAGTAGCGATGCCCTTGGCAGGACCCATCTCCGTGATTTTGGAGCTCAAACAAGGCGACTCGTTGGATCGGTTCCATTGCGTAATCGGTCGACACGCGTAACCTTCAGGCGACGTCAACCTGGCATCAAAAAAGAATTTCTCTTAAAGGAGGCTGCTAGGGGCTCCTGGCCTTACCACCTTTTTCATCCTTTTTCTTTCTTTCTTTGTTTTTTCTAAGCAAAGTTTTACTCGTATGGAATCTTGAGAAACGTCTGCCGTGGACTCGGCTAGCCCTGATGCGAGCATCCAATGAGCTGGGAACTTTTCATTATATAGTAGTTTGGCTCTAGTGAGATTGGCCCTTGAATGCTTTATTGCAGGTTCTTGGATGCTTGCACCCCTGTTTTGCACCCAGAAGTCCATATCAGATTCTTGCCATGGGTGAGTTTACGCTACATGCATGTTTGTGCTCTCTTCAGGGTTGCCTATTTACTGCCTTTCTTTGTGATGGAACCGACCTTGTGCCTGCACGAGGACGCAATACCCACCAACCTTGATTTCATTTACCACATGCCAACCATATCGGCAAGATGAACTTGATGTTTCTGAGGCAGTAGTTAAGCAAAATCTGTACGAGCAAAAGGCCAAGTTTTACGGTATGTTTGCTTCTTTTTGGATAATGATTTGTTCAATAGAAACAAAGGGAGCTGTGCGAGTTTCTGAACTTGAGGAACTCTGTTTCTCAGTTTCTCATTGTGCCAGCATCAAGGTCGGGCTGGTTGTTGCTCTTGCAACGGCGCGCGGTGGCACTAGAAAAGATGCCATTGGCTTAGTCCAGGTAGATGCCATGCTAAGTTTTGGCGATGCGTTTGGAGAACTTCAGAGGCCAAAGGACACCATCAAAGAAAGAAAAAAAGGAAGGAAAAGCGGCAGGTCTAAAGGTGCAACCAAAAAAGACCAGAAAACGGAGGCGTGATGAAAATCGAACGTGAAAGCTCTTTGGTCATAGTTACTGTAAGGACCTTGCAAGGGCCGCAAGGGCCGCATCAAGGGGTAAACAAGTTGACCTTGCTGTGCCGGTCTTAGGGTGAGAGCTTCAGAGCAACGCGTGGAGCTCAGTCATTGGGACGATCCAACTTGGCGCTGTCACGAGATCCTTCGGGTCATTGAATTGATATCAATGGCCTCCAACCTAATAGCAATGGCCTCCACCCTAGAAGCAATGGCCTCCACCCTAGAAGTGATGGCCTCCAATATCAGAATGGTGTTCTCAGTGTAGTATATGGTGGCATAATATAACCCAGTATTTTGCAACGAATGCGTAACAACCGTAACAGCCACCAACCATCGACAACTTCCAACATCCAAGACTTTGAGGTATGAACCGCGGAGTGCTGTGCTTTGTTCACAAGGTGTAGTGGTACTAAAGCTGGACTTTAACCTTCTGAGCCTTGCTCAGGTGTCAGGGTCACGGCAAACATGCGGAGGCCTCATCCTTGGTTCGATGGATTCACCTCTATATACAGGGCAAAACTGTATCCTCCATTTGGTACTTCCAACGATGCCAAGCATTGGCGTGCCAATACATTTCGTCATGGCTTGAGGATTCAGTTCTTGTTGGACAATATTCGGTCCTTGTTTGCGCTGCTTGCCGGCAACTTAGCGTTATTCATTCCAACATTGAGCATTGCAAGCTGCTGTTTGAATCATAATCACAATCATGCTGTTTTGTTCAGAGGGCACGCGGCAGGCCGTTAGAAAACTTTTCAGTTCCTTAGCCTTTGATTGCATCCAACAAGTTCCCTTTACATGTAATTAGCTGTAGAAGATTGAGTTCACCCTTGCAAAGCCTGCATCGCCTAATCTCAAGCTGGAGGCAGCCTTGCAGAGACCCCACTTATAGGGGACCTTTACTTCCATGCCGCAAACAAGAAGCACCACGAATTTCCACTTGCCAAGGTTTGGAGCACTCTGAGTCAGCCGTTGGTGAGGTTAGGGTCCGAGTCGGTCCGAGTGATAACTTGGGATACCAGGATACAATACACAGTTGACAAGGGGCATAATGGCAGCGATGGCCTCCACTAGTGATTGCCTCCAACCTAATAGCAATGACCGTTTAATAGTGGTCATTCCATTGAATTGGTCCGTTGCTTCTTTTTGGTCCTGTATTTCCAGCTGTTGGTTGAGCTTTCGAAGTGACGCTGCTTTCAACCCCTGCATACTGTATCCTAGCAAGAGTTGTGTATGGCTTCGCAATTGCACCCCTCTTTGCATTCATGCCAGCCAACGCTCTTGGATAGCCCCACATCTTGAAACGTTTGTAATGCAACCATATCAGTCACCGTACCCGTTTTAATATTAGCTGTTCTTTATCGCATACATTCTCGTACTCCTTGCCTGAGCTGTAGTGTGAAACTCTTCAATCTGATTCACAGGCAAGACTGGTTCGATCGCAAAGTTTGATTCGTGACTCGGCGACCAAGCAACTTCTTTTGCACCAAGCGCATGTCGTCACATTTTCCAGGTTGGTGACGTGGCTTTTGCCGGGCCAGTTGCGGGTCCTGGCCTTTGAGGACGGGGGTGCAGTGAAATGGCAGCTTTGCACAAAGGATGTGACGGAGAACAGATCCCTGTGTGATGATCAATCACAACCTATTAGATTAGATATCATTAGACACTATTAGATATCAAGACACAAACAGACAAGGACTCGGAAGGGTACACCTGCCTGCCCTTTCCTGCTCACATCTCAATGTGATTCATGGTATTGGAAACGCTCTCGTTTGGAGGCACCCATCGATGATCTTGGTGGCCAGCTAGATGTGGGAGTGAGGGCCCAAGACCGTACCTGCCAAGGTAAGGAGACTTTTAGCCGCTAGCCGTCCTGGTGAATTCGGGAGCTTTCCAACATCGCGTTGGTCAATACTGGTCTCTGTCTAGCTCCAATCACAGATTTTATGCATTGACCCTCCAAACACAGCGACTCGAAACTTGAAACTTGATGTTTGCCCCAACAGCTTCCTGTTGGCTTATAATTACACATGCGTCCACTTCAGTCCGGATTACTCTAATATGTTTGCATGTGTTTGCCACTTTGCCGCTCGACCGAGTTTGTTTGCTTACAACAAGTTTCTTTCCACGCCAACTGGTAGCGGTAGTTGTCAAGTTTTGTGTACAGCCATCGACCGACTTATAAGATTGAGCTTACAGAGAGTTAACAGCACAGGATTTTTTCAAAGGTAGTAACTCCGTCCTCTCATGCACAGTGTTGCATACCTACTCATTCCTGTTCTACATTCTACAATCATACCTATTCAATGATGAATCCCGTTTTTTCGTTTTCCTTTTGCCTCTAAATGCCCTTTGCCTTTCAAATACCAGCGCCAGCCATTACTGTTTTCTTTTTATTGAATCTCCTTTGATGCCAAAAAAGATAAGGACATTTAAAGGCCAAAGAAAAGGATTAGAAAAGGAAGGTTAAAGGACTGACAAAGGTAAATGGGACAGTTCTTTTTATATAGGACAATTTGTCCACGAAACGTTCCTGTGCCAAGCGGCAATTTCATGCCTTCGCAGGGTATTCCTAGAATCCGTTGTACAATTCCGTTGACCGCAATAGTTTAGCATTGAGTGACCCTTTGATTGCGACGGACCCAGAACTACTGATCATGGCACAGGCGGTTTCATCAAATTTGGGTGCCCCCAAAATCGACAGATACTTGTTTGCTTCCTTCAACGATTTTTTTCTTTCCTGTTTTTAGCCCGTGGGGGGGGTTGGCCGTAGAGGTAGTAGGTACCAGGTAGAGGTGGCTAGTAGCTACAAGAACGCTACTACCTTGGACGCAGGATAGCTCGCGCTTCTTCAAGGAAGCCCCCCCCCGGCGCCCTAAAGGCGGCAGGGGAAGCTTCCTTGAAGAAGCGCTCGCACTAATGATTTGGTTCCTAGATTTTGGGGGAAACTTAAGGTTTGGCACTAGTAGCTCAAGAGAATTGGTTTATTTGCCCGTCAACTGCCAAGTTTCCATTCAGAGGGATTTTGCTGATTTTATACCTCCTTCCAGCACAACGGTGTGCATCCTACCAGATTTGCTTGGATCAGCTGCGCCCAGCTAGAGCTTTTACAGGCCAAGAGCTTTACCAGTTTGCTGTCTTCCAAGGTCTGTTTGATGCTGGACAATGGCAGAGGCGAGGTCAATTCAAGACCGGGCCTCACAGACCTTGGGTCTTGATCTCTTGAATTTGTATGAATTTGTTAGGTCTCACAAATTTGGATCGCATTCTATAGAAGAGCTCTTGTTCGGACTTTAGAATTCGGATCGACTTGTTCCTCACCATCTTATACAACTTCCGTCGATAAGGCCGTGAATTTGGCTCGAATCCAATCAATCCCTCATTATCTCAGAATTTCAAGAATGCCTTCGGGAAGCTTCATGGGCCTGGAAGAGCAAATGCCTTTGAATGGGAGTCCTTTGAGTGGGCTTGAAGGAGAGTGTCTGGGATTGCACGAACACCGACATCCTACTTTCGGGCAAGTTGCATTGTTGGTGATCGTGAACGACCTATCCCCATGGCCCTTAGGCTCCCCCTTCGGAGGCGTCCGATGCAAAGCTCCTTTGCTAGGATACCTAGCTATTGCGAGTCGAACATTCAAAAAATCAGAGCGATCAGAAAGTGAAATACCTTGCGTGTCAGGGTCATCCGCGTTTGCAAAGATGTTGACAAGACACTAAAATTGACTAAAGCCAATTGATGTTCTGACATCCAATAGCAAGGAGGTACTCGTAACCTCAAAGCTTCAGAGCAGGTTGCCAGCTGAATGGCTGCGAGAAAGGAAGTGAACCAAAAAGATCAACACATTTAGAGCCAGCCGCCATCACAGGACAAGGGCAACCATCGCAATGCCGGGCTCAAATGTGATTGAGAGTTCCGTTGCGCGGAAAAGCCGGTCCAATTGGCACACCTGACCCCAGAACTACCAAGCCGCTGCAGGGATTTTGGACCCAGTGGTTACTACAAAGCTCACCTTAGGGACTCCATCCTTTTTTCATCGCAATATCTTGCCCTACTCACAAGAACATCATCCAATTTGCTTCGCTCGAAATCGTGTGTGGTGAGGTGTGAGAGCGATGGACTTTCTCCCTCGCACCAGCGAGCAAGCTTACCAGAGCTAGCAAGGTCGCTCCCCAAAGCAATGCGGAACCAGGCACGTGGGAAGCTACTATCTAGGTAGGAGGTCATCCATCGCTATTAGTAGGTTGGAGGCCATTGCTAGTAGGTTGGAGGCCATCGCACCTAGGTAGGGGGGCGAGCAGTCAATGTGATCCTTGTATATAATTCCTTGTGTTACAAGACGTACAAAAGGTTCATTTGCAAAAGGACTCGTTTGTTTCTTGGTCTTTGTTGGACTGTAGAGGCTGTGGCGCTATTGGCTTTGGTGGGCATTGCTGGGGCTTTGGCCACGTGCGCTCTTCTGTGGCCTCGACAAAATGGCATATTCTTAAGGGCGTCCAAGGAGTTGATGAATGCTGAATCTTAGAGCATGTAGATGTCGATGATTTGTCGATGCCGTCCAAAGTGGGTGTCTAAAGATATCAACAGTCTCAACAGGCATTCAGGCCCAAAGTCTGAGAATTGCTTGAGAGACTTTGTATTGCTGACTCCCCAACATCTCTCACGAATTGGTTCCAACCGAATGTTCCTGTATTCTTTTGCTAGTGCATATTTGTGCATGGACATTCTGTGGCGTCAATGAAGGAACAGGTGAAACCTCAGCGCGACTCAGAGCCCGAACGCGAAATGAAGAACCTCATCTCGAGTGACGGGGTCACGATTTACGCCTACGAGAATGCGGGCTGCGATGGGCCATTCTCAATGCTGACGTCCACGGGAGCAAGCTGCGAGGCCATCAGCAACGGGATTCATACGCTCTATGGAACTTTCTCGTGTCACGGTATGTCCGCCGGTTCCATGGTCGGCTGCACGGACTCCGACTGCAAGGAATGTGCCACCTACAATCTGCGTCCCCAAGGCGAATCTGGGCAGGAACAATGTTCGCTACTAGGGGCTCCTGGCATCGCTACTAGGAGCAAGGACGCTACTAAGGGCTCCTGGCCTTACTACTAGGAACAAGATGCTATTAGAAACAAGAAGCCATTGCAATCAAATTTATTCCATGATATTCATCAAAGCTTGCCTGCGTGACATTTGTACGCCGATGAGCCTTCCATTGCCTGTTTGTAGCCTCGATAAGAACAGCACTTGCAGTTTGTTTGTCAACCTTCAGCCAAGGAATGTGGAGGTGCCTTCCACTTTGCAGGTTCGGCCAAGTTCTCCTGCAATTGAGTGACTTCAAAGAACCTGGATGTCCATGTCTAGGACCGATGGGACTTATAACTTATACGTAACTGTTGGCACAGGCATCCTAGTTCTATAGGGCAGCTAGGAGACTGAGGCTGAAGCCTCTCTTTGTAGCATCACTAAATGCAAAGTTCGCAAGCCGTGCTAGGCACATAGTGCAGCTTCATCCCCGGTAGTGCTCATTGCTCGAAAGCAAATGAGCCACTGGTTCTAATACTGCCCGATCGATCCAATCTCTCGGCTCAACATTATTTCGTGAGATAGACAGGCTTTGCGAGGTGACACTTTGATCTTCTGCCGAAGGCAGATCAAAGAGGAAATACAATTATGGTTGCTTGGCATAGCTTGACATTTTAGTGATTTAGGCATTGGGGTGAGATGCATTCTTGCAAAGCAATTAGTTCTCAGAAATACTTTATTAGTATATGAAAAAGATCAACTACATTAAGACAATATGGTCGGATACCATTGCTCAGCCCTGCTGCAAATGAGACAGGCTGGAAGGCCAGCTTGCACGAGTTGGTGGAAGACCTCAGATTCGGATCGCACAATGCTCTGGGCAATAGAAATGACCGAATGACCCAGCTATTGGTTGGAGCCCATTGCTTCTAGGTTGGAGGCCATCGCTGTTAGGTTGAGGTAGTGATTCTTTGCTCTCGCTATTAGGTTGAGTAATGATTTAATGAGTTTGAACATTTTGGCAAAGAACGTGGACTTACGCGGCGTCAAGCCAAAAGCAGAGGCACTCCGGAGGTTTTCTGTGGCTCCTTAAAGGGAGGCAAATGACTCGCTACCGAAGAATCTGACAAATTTGTCAGCTTCTTTCGCTTCTTTCAGAGGCAGCGTGCCATACCTCCGTGGCAAAACATGTGCTTTTTTCAGAAAATTCAGAAGGACTCTGAGAAAAGCAGATTCTTTTTTTTTTGTACATGAGAGATCTCATGGCTAAGTCTAGTCTGCTGCCTTGACATGTCATGGAAGTTCATTTTGATATGAGCCCGTCCTCGCATGAGGCGGACTTTACCAAGCCATTCAACGCATCTTTTTTTTTTTAACGTGCTTATTGTGTACCTTTCCTTGTAGCTCCAGGCCAGGCAGAGAAGCTGGCCCCTGGCCATGTGGCACGGTGCCCAAGAGCTGAAACGTGGATGCTGCACGGACCCTGCTGGCTATGCCATATGCCGCAACTGCTGAACTACTTGAATCTTCATTTCCCGGACAATCTCGGAAAAGTACTTGTGCATCAGCTGCCCAACATCTCCCCTGCCCTTGAGCCGGATCGATCAAAAGAATACCCGCTATTGCTAATCAAGGAGTCTTTTTTTACTAAGTTTACCTGACCTCATTTCGCTCCCTTTCTAACTTTCGTTGCCTCAACCCACCTGACAGGAATTGTTGAATAGTTTAGGCTTACTGTAATCTTACCAACGCCACCCATGCGATGTCGTCTCTGTTCCTTCCCCAAGTCTTCCTTCATCTTAAGCAGAGCAGCAGACTTCTGGTGGAGCATCAGATAAGATGAGCAGCTCTGTGCCTCTGATTGGCCCTCCGGCACCAAGTTTTCTTGACCACTATATAAACTGAGGTCTGTAACGTTGGGCATTTGCCAACTGCAGATGCGGATGACCTTCGTGTGCTGCACTTTTGTCAGGGGACACCCTTTATGTACATTTTCAACGAAAGTGCCTTTGGCTGTTTGCTGATGAACCAAACCTGATATCGCACTTGCAATGTGTTTGGCTATCGAGGCCACTGTGCATTCATCACTAAAGATCATGGAAGAGCTATCAGGCGCCGATGCCATAGACATTTTTTGCCCAATATACTATGTCAGGCTAGCAGTTAACATCTAGACCTTCCAAATAAACCGAAGCTCAAAGGTTCGTGCCGCTTTTTGTCTGTGAAGAGTGTTCCAGCCCATCCACAGGGTTTTTGCTTGGTAGTTCCTGTTGAGGAGTTTCTTTGCCTGGCGACATGCAGGCTTGGGTCCTGTGTTTGATGGCATGTCAGATCTTAATCTTCAGTGACATGGGATGCCAACACACCTTGACCAGACAATCCACATCACACTGACACCCTGAGACAACACTTGTGCAGCATGCAAAAGATTGCCACCGACATATCGAAGGGATGTTTAAGCACGGAGGCACCAAGAAGACAGTAGTTGTTTTGCATACTGTGTAGTTTCTCTGCGCACAGAGATTACACTCCTCCATAGAAGGCCCCTGTGCCAATGTGCGGGTAAAGACTGCACGGAAATCGTAGAGCCTGACCCCATCATGTGTCTTTTGTTTTAAATGTTACTAGTATCATATTCACGTCGCTTCGCGACGGTAACCGCCCGCACCGCATGGGAGGGCTCAAAGACTGCAGTCATGCTCCAGGAACGGGTCAAGGTAGGTACTTCCATTGAACATAGCCCCAGAAGTCCCCCCCCCCCCCCAACGTGGCCGAACATAGCTTCCATATTGCCTAACATAGCGCTAGAATGTGGGAACGTCGCAAATTGGTGTATCTTTTCCGCAGGTAGCTCAAGACGTTCGCCGGATATTTGGCTCAACAGGAGCAGAGATAAGGAACGGTAACATTTTCGAACGAGGGCTCAAAAGGGCCTGGAATAAAGTAAAGATATTGCCTAACATAGCTCTAAAAGTCACTATCTAAAGGACGTGTCTGCGAGATAGGGACGTGAACGTCGTAAACATAGCCCAACGAGGGCTCAAAAGGGACTGGAACAAAGACCCCCCCTAACGTGACCAAACATCGCTCTTTTTCCAGGAACGGTAAGATTTTCTCACGAGCATAGCTTGCATATGGTCGAACATAGCCCCAGAAGTCACTATCTCAAGCATGCTTCCTCGAGATAGGGACTTGAACGAGGGCTCAAAATGGACTGGAATAAATTCAAGATTGCCTAACATAGCCCTAGAAGTCACTATGGTCACGGAACAGGTGCCGTTGGTAGAGTTCGTTGGAGTCAGAGTGCTTTTTCAAGTAATCGTGGTTGTGGGGTTAAAAGACTGCAGCCATTTTGCGGGTCGGGTAAGTGGTTAGAGAGCTTCCGGAAGTGACACGATCTGGAACGGGTACTTGTGCTCTTGGAGCCAAGGGAGTCAGTATGAAAGGAATATAGCAGATTATAACATGTTCGGACACATGCAATGGAAACAGCGTTGGATAGTGTAAGGTTGATCTTGGTAGAAGCTGGATACGAAACAGGTGTAGGTTGTAGAGTTCGTTTTAGTCACAGTGCTTCTTCAAGCAATCTTGTGCTCAAAGACCGCAGCCATGTTGGAATGGGTCTCATCAGGGCAGGGGATGACGCTGCAGATCGGGCTAATGTTCTGTATTCGGTAGTCAGAGTGCCTTTTCAAGCAATCGTGGCTGTTGAAGGCCCGCCACCACTGCCGGACGTATCACGATCGGGAATGGGTTCTTGTGCCCTTGGAGCCAAGGAATGCAGTATGAAACGAACATGGCAGACGATATCATGTTAGAAGACATGCAATGGAAACAGCGTGGGGTGGTTGATCATGGCAGGGTTCGTTTTAGTCACAGTGCCTTTTCAAACAACCTTGGGCTCAAAGACTGCAGCCATTTTGGTATGGGTCTCATCATTTTGGTACGTATCTTTAGTTTGTTCCAGTCCATTTCGAGCCCTCGTGGGGCCATGTTTGCGACGTTCAAGTCCCTATTTCGAGAAAACACTATGTTCGACAATATGGAAGCTATGCTCGTTCAAGTCCCTATGACTTCTAGGGCGATGTTAGGCAATATCTTTACTTTATTCCAGTCCCTTTTGAGCCCTCGTTGGGCCATGTTTACGACGTTGAAGTCCCTATCTCGAGGAAGCATGCTTGAGATAGTGACTTCTGGGGCTATGTTCGACCATATGGAAGCAATGCTCGTGAGAAAATGTTACCGTTCCTGGACCTGATCTCTGCTTATCTCTGCTCCTGTGGAGCCAAATATCCGGACATTCAAGTCCCTATCTCGCGGACACGTCCTTTAGATAGTGACTTCTAAAGCTATGTTAGGCAATATGGAAGCTATGTTCGGTGGAAGCTATGTTGAGCCACGTTAGGGGAGCCTGTTCAGCCAAATGTCCGGCCTCAGTCCTATTACACTTTACCGCGCAGATGATTCAAATCATGCAAAGGAAGAAAATGGCATTTCTTGCATCATCAGGGGCCTCAAAATAGCACGAATTCATCTTCCAGCATTTTAAGCCGATTCCAAAAACGTGAAAAAGCACAGGATTCCAAAGCGAAAATGGCCCCCCCCCCCCCGTAGCTAAAGCTATTGGCTTGCATATGCTAGCTTAGGTATAGCGCGTGCCCTATAAAAACGCCTCGGCACCTTCGGTGCGGGCGGATTTGTGTTTTATATAGGTTGAACTGTGCATGTACTATTGATTAAAAAGGATAAAACTATATCGACGGAACCAAAGCAAGAGCTAGATGTACTGGATTTGATCTCTTTTGCTGAACTATCATCAACCAAGCCTCATGTCATTATGCCATTTGCAAGAATGACATCAAACACAGTACCGCTCTACACTGCAGGGAACACCAGCTCCGGGCTTTGCCTCTTGGCTGGGCCTGATGCGCACAGCGATGTCAAAGTGATAGATCAACAGATATAGAATGCCTCGTTTTCAATCATTTCGATTTGCTTCCGGTTTGGATTCCTTAGAGAACGTTTGCTTTTGGTAATCTCGGACTGCTGATGACTCCCAATTGCTTAGGTTGCAAACCTCCTTTGTGTATTGCCAAAGTCAGCTCGTCGGTGGGCGTCCCAGCTAGTTGCTTGACCTAAAACCATTTTACATGGATATGTTCCAGTACACTCCCGGACTTCGGGAAGATGAGATAATTTTTGATTCATGGTAAGAGACGGCGTTCGTCATCCTGATTTTGTCAGCATTGTTTTGGGCATTTCTACTCAGGCCTTCTAAGCCTTAGTTTGCATCCAGCAGCCAGCCTTAGAAGCTGTTTGACTGAGGCCTTGGTTGATCAATCCCAATTGGCAGTCTCTCCGAGAGGTGAACTTGAGCGCTGGGTGACCCAGGTGCTTGGATTTCATGGGTCACTTGAATTTGCTGAAGACTTCAACAGCTTTGCGGAGAGGCCCGGCAGGCAGTCTTTTCTCTTTCTTTGCTGTGCCTTCATCGTGGAACCAAGGTATGGGCCAGCTCAGAGGATGCCCAGGCTTGGTACAGACAGCTCGAGTCTCAGTGCAATCTTGCTGAGCTGATCCAAAGCCAGCCACTTCCACGCAAACAATGACAGTTCCAATTGCGCAATTCTCAATTTACTTCAATTTTGTCCAATTTACTTCACAACTTACTCGGAGCAAGGACGCTACTAGGGGCTCCTGGCATCGCTACTAGGAGCAAGGACGCTACTAGGGGCGCCTGGCCTTACTACTAGGAGCAAGAAGCTACTAGGGGCTGCTCAGAGCTACATTTCTTCAGGTCACAGGCCCATGCAGCGATCGTGGCACAACATGCGCAGGGCAAGTTGAGGAGACAGAAGTTCAACCGTCAAACAACGGTCAACAACAAGGTCAGACCAACTGCAAATTACTGATGCCAGTTTGGTAGTTCTCAGTGCTGAATTTGTTGAAGGAATCTTTTCAAGAACAGACAGACCAACTAAAAGACAACGAGCGACGTCAGTGAAAGTCAGTGTGCTTCGCATGGGATATCATTATTGATCTAAATCTATTGTATTCATGCTTCTTGCCGAGAGCCTTATAACTTATATCCACTGTAGCTTCGGTATGACACTTCATTTTCTACCTGCAACGACTGATAGGACATTTGGAAACCTCTTAATGACTTTGCAACCGTTGCGAGTCTGCCCCTTATTGGCTTTCTAGGCAGACAGGCTTTGTGAGCGAGTTTGGATGGGATTCAATCTATTTCTATAAGGCTTGAAGGAAGAACATTTTTATGCTGGATACTAGCCGTTTACGTTTTACTGTAACATGTCTGTCCTTTGCGCTCCTTTTGGGCAGCCCTCAGGTCTGAGATGCCTGCTAGATCCATCCACAATAATCAATCGGCCGATTGGATGATCACCCTTCATATCCTGATTTCATAGAGAATGTGACAGGTGCCCCAATAGACTCGTGCGCCTGGACCAGGATTATTGAGTGTAATTGTCCCATGAAGTGCAAAACAAAGATACGAAAAAGACGCGGAACAACTCATTGCAGAAGAGGATAACAGTGGAAACAATACAGCCTTTGCAAAGCGGAGCAGGTCATTGCTTCGCATTGCTTGGCATTACTTGTTCTAAAAGCCTTTTGCTTCATGCCTGGCGCTGTCACAAAGACGAGGTGGCCTGGCAAAGTCGATGCCGAGCCTGTGCTTCTTTGGCTGAAGGCTTGGCCACCAGGCGCTGGGCGCCATTGGCATCCCTGAGAATCTTCGATCACTGACGGAGGAAAGAAAAAAGAGATGAAACAAAAGAAGAAAAGAGTCCAGCCTACGAGAACCTTCGCATTTAACTCTCTCTTTTCATTTTTCTGTCCCTTTCGTCATGTTTTCACTGGCTGGATCTGAGTTGAGGCAGTGCCTAACATTATTTTCTTGTGGAGGTGTCCAAGTTGCGGAGCGCGGACATTTGAGCTGCCGAGCTTCTGAAAAACGGGCCGCTGGGTGGGCTGGACAAACAGTGACCGTCGACTGTCATCAAGGAGTGCCATTCAGACTGCTGAAGAATCGAGCCCTTGATAACAATCGCAGCACTTTTTCAAAGATTGATGAACTTTATCATGCAGTGCTTTTGTGTGTGTGTGTGTTTCTTTTTCCCCAAACAGTTTACTGTTGGGGTTCTATCTTAGAAAGAAAAGAGCTGGCCGCACTCACTGGCCGCGCCCCTGAACTCTGTGGCTGGGCTCTGTGGCTGGGCCTTGTCCTCCTCTTGTCCTCCTCTTGGCCGCGCCCCTGAACTCTGTCAACTCTGTGGCTGGGCTCTGTGGCTGGGCCTTGTCCTTCTTGGCCGCGCCCCTGAACTCTGTCAACTCTTTGGCTGGGCTCTGGCTGGGCCTTGTCCTCCTCTTGTCCTCCTCTTGGCCGCGCCCCTGAACCCTGTCAACTCTGTGACTGGGCTCTGTGGCTGGGCTCTGTGTCCAGGCCTTGTCCTCCTGAACTCTGTCAACTCTGTGGCTGGGCTGTGTGGCTGGGCTCTGTGTCCAGGCCCTGTCCTC